AGAGGGGGGGGAGAGAGAGAGAGAGAGCGAGAGAGAGAGCGAGAGAGAGAGAGAGAGCGTGAGTGCGAGTTGTGGAAGAAAAACAACTCGCCAAGCTGGTCCCAAATTGAAAAACGAGTAAGATAATTCCCCACTGTATGACAAATATCTATACCTTGGGGGTTTAAAGCTAACCGCTAGTATAAAAAAAAGAAGACAAGGCATAGGGTGGGGACCATCCCCCACCTAAACCCACTGGTTCTGCGTCATCGTACTTTAAAGACTGTATTCAAAACAGCCCAATTAGATCCCATTCGATGAGGAATCGTCTAAAGAGAGTAGATCATTAGCAAACGAAAATTAAATCATTTGAGAAGTGCTCTTACATCATAATAATATGTGTGTGACCCAGAACGTCCTTCATCAAATAGTGATAGAACGTTCAGAGCAGAGCGTGGATATCATCCTAGTCTGACAACTTGAACATCAACCAGAGATAAAATGATCAGAGCAGAGCGACAATATTATTCTATCTAGTCTGATCCCTTGTAGTAAACTAAACACTGTCAACTCCGTAAAGCCTTCCACACAGAACATTTACTATTAATCTTCTTAGAAATAAATATACAAAATTTGGTCGCTTTCTGTGCCTGAGCACGGGGGAAAGGGGGGGGGGGGGTAATTTCACTAGAGTAAAACCAAGCTGGCGCAAAATCGACGCTCCAGATAAAACTATTAAAACAACTATTTCCGAACTTATCAAAACATCAATGAAGGCCTAGCTTAGGGGAGAAAAACATAATCAATAAAAAAATATATATATACACTGCACGGGTAAGTGGTGTAAAGTGTAACTTCAGCACTCGTTGTGAGGCGCCGTTTAACACCTATACAACGTTAGGATATTTCATACAGCAAACCATAAATGGATCGACCGCAAAAGTAACCCCAAAATATGTACATAACATTTTAGACAAAAAACATGTTTGTACCTTTTATAAACAAAACTGAGGTGATCATTTTTTGTCCGTCAACAATGCTATTTCAACGGGGGGAAAAACGTTCATGTACTATGGGTAATTTTCAAATACTAAAAGTAAACGATAAAACAATGTTCAGGAGCCTTAAAAAACTTTAGCAGAATAATGTATAGCTAATCTTGGAGTTCTTTCCGAGGTTATTTCAAATCTAGTAGACATAATAGAATGTACACACAATGTGTCCTTCGATTAGAGCAGCTCTTAAACTGAGATGCACTCATAATACTAATATAACCCAAAAAGCCATTTTACTTCAGATTATTTGATACACCAAGCTCCTATTATATGCCCATGCTATTCGTGAGTTACCCTAAAATTCTAAAGTAATTGTATATCCTAAAATCACTCATTATGATGTATCCATTAAGAATCAACGTTCCCTATAATAATTTCCATCATGTTTTCCCAGTCTATCAGTTTCTTCAGTCACATTCGATTTGAGCTCGAAGCTCGACCACCAAAATACTGGTACGTGTGGACAGCTCAGCGTCGCACGTCCTTATTCAAGTCACTGGTGTTGCTCGTTCACTTCCCTGTGCCCATACCGGATTCGGTTGAGCAAGGCATTGTCAATCTCGCCCTCACACACGTCCAGCTGGTCGAACACATCCGAGAGAGCGCTGAGCATGTCGGTGTCCATACCTTTATCAGAGGGACCGCCCGCCGACACAGAACTGCTGCCGATGACAGTGGTGTCCGTGACGGATAGATCGGCCTCGTTGAAGGACCTCGGGTTGGTGGTCATGTCTGTGGAGTAGGCGCTGTCCGAGAGCGAGCTATCAGCCACGTGAGTGACGTCAGAGTGAGTCATTTCCGAGTGGAAAACGGCACTCACCGAGCCTGAAGACGGCGTCAGAACCCGGGGTTGTCCGGAGCTCCCAGTGGAGAACACGGAGCTGGAGAGACGGTGCTGGCGTAGGGCGACCGGGCTGGACACTGAGCCCAGCAGAGACTCGGACACACTAGAATAAGCGCTGTCTGTCCGCGAGCGGAGAGAGTCCAGGCTCTGGTTGCTGGAGGAAGGCGTGCTCTTGGCCGGGGACGCCTGGGGTGAGGCGCAGGGGCTGAACTCCTGGAAGTGGTGGAAAGAGGTGGAGCTGAGCAGGATGGGGCTGGAGACCTTCCTGTGTTTCGGCGACGGCATCGAGTCGGTACTGTACACGTCGCCTCCATACTGTTTCCGGTTGGCGCTCATGTCTGGCGAGTGCACGGACTCGGACACACACCCTAGGCGGCTCAGGAAGCGCAGCACTTTGCGGCCCTTCTTGTTCCGTTTGGTGTGAGACTTCTTGAGGAAACGTTTGAAACGGAATGTCCCCATATTTTCATCCTCCACTACAATACAAGAGTGGTTCTGCTTCTTTTCCGTGTCTTCGACGGTGAAAGCTTTGTACATATCCCCAGCCCCCGAAACATCAGTGCCCTCTCTTCTCTTCTCCTCCAGAAATACAAGATCGTTCAAACCCTCCGGCCTACACTGCTTATCGAACTCAGTAAGAAGCCTGTCGAACCGTTTCACGTTCTCCTCCTCGTATCTCCTTCTCACTTCAATTTCAGCAGGCAATGGTCTCTTCTCCCCTACTTTGGGCGGCTTCCCCTTGGGCGTGGATGTTGGTGCTGGAATGTCGTAGTCGCCCAGGGACGCGGGCCCGGCCACTCGCCTGATCTGCGCCGTCCCCGTGCACGTGTACTGAGAGCTCTCGCTGAGGTCAGAGGGCACGGGGCTGGGACAGGAGGAGATGCGGGATAAGTCCAAGTCTAAAGTGTGAAGTCGTGAGGGCGTCTCCTCGTGCCAGCTGGGGGCGGACGAGGAAGCGCTGGCGTTCAGGACATCTTCTCTGAAGTCTGATGAGTTCAGTGTATGGGACATCGACGATGACGACGACGACACGCGCTGGTGAACGTCTGAATGCCAGTTGCTCTCCCGTGACGCCTCCGAATTGCCCCAAAACTCTGGAGTGGCAAACTGCTCTAACGAGGCAGACAGACTGTCGAGAACCGACATGGAATTGTCGAGTCCACTTACAGAAAACGCAGAACTCGACGTGAAATTCGCCGACCCGGACATATCGTGGACGTCGTTACCCATTGGTGATCTCATCTGATGACCAGCGTGTTGTCTACCGAAGGAAAAATTATTGGGACTGTTAGCGCTGACCGTGGACGCGACATTAGCCGAGTGTAGGCCGGTGACGAAGTCCTGGAAGGAGCTAATCCGACCGTGCGCTGAGCCCGGGGAAACCTCTTCCACTTCCTGGTAATCCATCCTCTCGTCCTGAGGTCCAGGGGGACTGACGTCCGGCTCACTCAGCGGTGTTTGTTCCCGGCCAAAGCTGCTTGACCAGCGGCTATTGCTCTCCGAGGTGCTTATCGACGAGTAATTCCCATCGCTCTCCTCGAAATCCGACGACTCACAGACAAACTGCCTCTTCTCTTCTAATCCCGCACTGAGTGAACGGGGTAGTTTAATATTGGCGTTTTCATCAGCTGACCACTCATCGTTCTCTGTCAACCCCCTCACCCCTCGACGCTCCTCCACAGGGCTCGCCTCACTCGCTTTGTCACTGCTGTTTTCATCCTCCGAGGCCAAGGTCGCTAGTGTGCGTACAGGCGACGACTTTGGCGAATTTGCGTCTATCAGACTCTCCGTCTCCTCTTGTAACGTCCACAAACTACTCGCTTTCAACTGGCCAGGCTTCAGTCGCTGCAGGTTATGATGGCGCTGTGATGTTTTGGGTAACTGAGTTGTAACGAGATCGTAATCGTTATCGTAGTATTCTCGCTCTGATCGCGCCAGTCCGCCATTCTCCTCCACACCTGTCGCTACAGACGGGATCCATTCCTCACCTGTGATAAATGTCTCCTCCTCTTCTCCGATATCCAGTGGGAATGAATTTGTTTTGTAACTATTTACCACCACAGTACCTGAAACGTTGGATAGACTGGACACATTTAAGTCATCGCCACGCACAATGTGTTTGAGCACACTGGTCGCTTCCGCATGATCACGGTACACACTTCGCGTGTTGGAGTGCTGTGTACTTTCTGCCCTGACCTCGTCGCCCACGACCTCTGACCTCAACGTTGACAGGTCACTCGACAGGCGGGACAGCTCGGCTTCCAGGCTATCCAAGAGGCTGTCGCTGTGACGTATGACGGGCCGGCCGCCCGAGTCGACTCTGTGTACGGGGAAGGAGGCCGTCATCTCAGCAGATGTGTTGTTGTTGTGGAGAGCCTGGCCCGTGACGGGGGCTTCACCTGCGGCGACAAGGCTCTGACTGCTCGCCGTGTCCTCCGTCACACGGAATGTGTTGTTTTCCCAGTTAGCGGCCCCTTTCTCTCCTCCGGTCACGTGATGGGAAATCACATCTGCGTGGGCGGCGACCCGTGACGAGTGTGACGCGGGACACGGGATGTCCCCGCGGCTGACGGGGCCCTGTTGTTGTGTCGGGGCAGGGGTAGCCTCGCAAGGAGGAGAGGTCACCCACGCAAGACCCGGCCCGTTTCCATTGTTGTTGTTGATGCTATTACCGCTAAAAGCATTGTGGGTGTTACTAACCGTGGTGTGTTGGAAAGATGAGTCCGGGTACACAGCACTGGTGGTAGTTGTGAAGTAGTCGTCGGCTTCTTTGATGATGGTCTCAGTGGTCGACTTGTCAGTGACTATATCCACGGGGCCGCTACTACTGTCACCGCTTGACAGCCCGCCACTGTTGGGAGGCGACTGGTTCACAATCCGTTCAGTGGTCACAATTTTCTCGATAGTAGTCCGGTGCACGTGCTTCACTCGCTTACTGGACACTTCGGTTACTTGAGGTGGTTTCACGAGCGTGTTGGACGCCTGGTCATCTACTTTCTCATAAAACTGCTCAGAATTCTCAGAACTGTGAGGGTACTCACGCCATATTCCCTGGGGCGACGTTTCTTTGTTAAGACCGCAGGCAACGCCCGACTGCTCTATTGATTGCTTCACGTGCCGTGAGCCGACCTGATCCACACCACCCGAGCGTAAGGTTTCCTCTCCTAACCGAAAACAACGATTCCCCTCGCTGTCAAACGCCGCGCCTAAACCAGAGACGCTGGTGCCGTTGTTGTTGTTGTAACTAACTCTATCAACGGAGTTACCACTCACACGAGACTGATCGAAAGAGTTATCCAACTGGTTGAAACGCTTGCCGTCGACTGAAAAGTTACGCGAGTCGTCCGAGACGCTGCTAGTGGTAGTAAACTCACAGCCGGGTGCAGCAGTGATTGAGCGGTGAGAGTGAGGGAACGCTGGCTCCTCGCGTCGTGGCGATGTGAAAGCCGAAGCGCAACTGATGTCATCTCCTCTGCGCGGCGTCAAACCGCCGCTATCATTCATGTTTTGCGCCGTGGCGACAACGCGCACCGTCATCGGTAGCGGGGTTTCCCCGCCGCACTCAGTGGTACCGCGCGCGCTGGCGGCTGTAGTTGTGAGCGACACCGGTGCCGCGTCCCCATCGATCCGATTTCTCTCTATCCGCATCATTTCTTTCTCCTCCTCACTACCGTCGCGACCTCCCGGGTCAACCTCACGATCTCCAGGACACGCGCCCAACTGCTGCTGTTTTCGGTGTCCTTGTCCTTGTTGAAGATGCTCAAAATCTCGGTCATTGCTCGCGGTCACATTCTGGGAGCTAAACAGCGGCGAGGTCGAGTCAATACTAACCTGTCCTTGTCCGGGACCGCTCAAAGCTACCTGTCCAAGGAGCGCCGCCGACTCCCTACCGTTGTTGACACGGGCCGTGTTTACTTCCTCTTGCGTGTCTTTCTGCTCAGATCTTGAAACACGAGCTTTCTCATAATCCAGGGGGGATCCACGAGTCTCCGAATGCTGAGTGAAAATACCCTCGGAAAGCGTTTCGCCAACACACCCCTTGTTTACTTCTTCAGACGCCGCAGTTGGCAAGGAAACACTGTTCTGAAACTCGGCACTAATAACGTGGAAACCTCCCACTCCATCTCTCCCCTCGGTGTTAAGAGCCTCTCGCTCACTAGCAGCGCTGGTCCTTTCTCCAGGTGTTCTCCTACCTAACTGACTGTTTCCCCCGACCGGCACCTCGGGTATATTCTCGGCCCTCACCACGCCCGGCCCGGCCGACACCTGCGTGCCTTCCACAGGTAAACCGGTACTCGAGATACATCCACGCCCTCCTCCTCCCCCCTCCCCCGCCTCGCCCAAACTCGCATTACCCAACTCGTAATGAGGCCAATGTCCAGCTGAGCTATCAATTTCTCCCACCGACCGCCCCGCCTCGCCGTCCCCGCCAGCGACTGGTAAATTGCCATGCTGTTCAGAGGGCGGCTGTCTATCCCCATCGCCATTTACGAGACCCTTGACCTCAGTGGCTCTGTCCACCACTGCACTTTCGCCGTGCATCGCTATTTCTGGAGATAACTCATCCTGTCCAGCTCGATCATCGTCTGTATGATCGCAATAAACGCGACAACGTGCGGCATTTGTGGGATGTGCACATTGACAAGGGGCACTATTGGGCATACCTTTACTATCATTGTCGACATCAATCTGCGGTTGTGCCCCTTGAATACTTCGCTGCCCCACAAGCTCTCCGCTGTACCCACTGTAACTATTGGGCTCATTGTTGTAGCTGTTTATCCCCCATCCTCCGTCCTCGATGCGGGGTTTCCCAAACATTCCTGCCAAAGTGGCCTCTTTCCCGGGAGATACTCGACCTTGATTATCTACAGCATGTGTGCTGTTATCTTCTTCATCATCTCCAGGCGAAAAGGCGGAAGAAAGGCTACGTTCCGGGTACCGGAAACAGCCTTTCTCTCTATCCCCTTCCTGTCCCGCATCGCCCTTTTTCGAAATTGGAGATTGGGACTGGTCAAATTTCATTACCGCACCCTCTTCGTCCTCCCACATCACAGGAGAATAGCCCATGTTTGTGTTTCCGGGGCAACTTATCACATTTCCTTGGGCTCCCTCACTTGGGGACAATGGACTTTCTCTGCGTGGAGAAAGACGAGGAGAGTTGGGCAAGGAAGAGGTGGGAGATGTTTGAGAAAGTCTTTTCAGTTTCTCCTGACCTTGTTTTCCGGCGCTAATCAGCGGTATGCTGACTTTCACCGGCTTCACAACTCGAATGTCTCTCTTGTAGCTCGACAAAGTATTTCGATCCAGATCTTCTTCCCCCTCAGTCGCTTCGCCATTGTTACTGTCGGCTTCTCTAGCTTGGGCAGAGCCGATGTTGTAGACCGCCCACCACTCATTTCCCACATTCTGCGTGTCACTTCTGGGAGGCACGAGTTCAGGTCCTGTGTCCACGCGCATCACAGACTCACCGGAAGAAGTGTGTCCGGTGTCGTCGTGAAGGGCGTTGATGGCTCTTGCGCTTGCGGGCAGGTCAGACGGCTTCTTCACTCGTTTCGTTTTCCTCGGGGCGGAGGCGAATGACGAGACGGTCAAACTGGACACGTCCGAGAAGTTGTCCTCAGACAAGCTGCTGTTAAGGCTGGAGTCGGCGGCTCGTGAGGACAGTCTGGACTCACAGTCCGACACGTCCATCTGAAACAGCGCTCGCGAGGCTCTCGACTTCTCTACCGCGCCTTTCTCCAGGAACACGCCGTCTCCTTCCGGGTCGTCCACATTCCACACGGCCATAACGGACAATTTCGACTCTCCAAATCCCCTGGGACTCACGTGTGGTGTGGACTGAGCAAGCGGAGTTGACGGCATACCGCCTTTATCGCCAAACCTTTTCCTGTCATCACGCGGGGACTTCGATACAGAAGTCGACTCATTCCCCGGTATGGTCACCCTCAGAGCTTGAAACCTCGACTGTAGTCTTTCAAGGTCCAAGGACGGACTTGACATCAACTCCCTCTTGCGTGAGTCGCCATAAGCCAACGGGCTACTTCTGTTGCTGTCGGGACTGTGTACATTTCTGCCTTGACCTCGCGTGGTTCCCCTACAGCCGCGCTCATCAATGTCGTCTTCGTACAGAACATTGAGGGTTCTGTCGCCAAACAGTCCTCCCTCCGCTCCGCTGTGCGTGGCGTCGCTGTCTAGGCGGTCTAGTTCACTGTCCACTGTCACCTCAAAGAAGGCGCTGGAACTGCCGAAGGAGTGTTGAGACATGGTGTCATCCTCGGCGTCAAACATGGAGCCCTCCTCCGAACAGCCCACAGAAACGCCACTCTCAGACGCTGTCTTATCTGGGTAGTAGGGACCTTTGTGGTAAATGTCCTCACAGCTTTCTGCCAGCCTCCGGGGGCTTTCTTTGTAGGATTTCACACCCAGGTCTTCCTGGGAAGCGTAGACGTGAGTCGACAAAAGATCATGCTCCGACAGACTCCGCGACTTGCGAACCAAATGTTGGTTGGGTTTGCTGGTCAGCAGGTGGCAAACACGAGGGCGGTGAGGCGAGGGCGAGTGGTGTAAGGGATACGAGTTCAAAACTCTCATGGGCTCGCTGTTTACGTAAATAATGCGCTGTTTGGGTGTAGACACACTACGCGGGGACAAGAACCTCCTGCTGTCCAGTCGAGGCGAGCGTGCCGGGGAGGCAGAATGATACCGTGGCAGGTACGGCATACTGCGACTCAAACCACGATCCATTTTGACAATTTATATTTTACCTCCGACCTTTCCACAAAGAATGTCTCGTAACAATTATCTTGTGGGACAAGTTGTCTAAAAAAAAAAAAGGAGTACGGTATGAACAATGTCCAAATTCAAGTTAAGATGATAAGCACCCCCGGGAAAACAGAATTTCCCGGTGGGTACTCAAAGATTTGAGTGCTTCAGTACAAAGTCAGAGTTCCTGTGAATATGTGTTCTCATTCGCCACAAAGAGCGGGCGCCCAGCTCGAAAATCGGTCTAAGTGACGCCCATGTTCCTTCTTGACATGCGCAGGTCACAGATAATCAGGCAGCAGCAAAAGCTGTGAATGGTCTTCTCTCTGGAAAGAAAGTCACACAGCAAGTAAGCAACCCGCAAAAAAGCCATCCTTGTTTGTTGGAGCGAAGAGGAGCACATCGACACAATCATGATCATTTAGTGCTGGGAAAAGGTAAAACAAACAGACAGAAACGACAGAGGGAAAAAAAAGAAGTAGGATATACCTGTGTCGCCCTCCAACCTCCCGCAAAAAGCCCTCCTTAGACACATTAAGAATTGTGTAACAACATGCAAATGGGCGCAGAAGTAGACAGAGCGTAATATGGAAACAAGAAGTTGGACACCATACAAAAAGTAAGAAGCAGGGCTTTTCCTGTCTGTTGTTTTTTTTTTCTTCAGAAACACACATCACACAACCGTATCACAATCGGTTAATCTATGCAGGGGGGCACGCTACCTGTAAGGCGCCTCCTGACCCTCCCTCCCACGGCCCCTTTTATCTCATTCCAAACTACGGCAAACACACAACTAAGTTACAACAACAACAAAATCTACCAAATGATCATGAAAGCGATATCACTGGTCCACCGCAGCACTTTCAGTTAATCATTTTCCACGCAGTAAACCCTTCCCCCCCCCAACCACCCTTTCCCC